GTAAAAGTGCGAGAGGTAAAAAAAGAGGAGAGAGGAAAAAGATGGAGAGAGAAGCAGGATACAGGAAGCGAAAAACAAAGGGAAAAGAAGAACATGATTAGGAAGAAGTGAGGATAAGGAGAGAAAAGGGAGAGAAACAAGGGGATTAAGGAGTAAAAAACAGTTGGGTAAAAAAGGGGGAACGAAAGAGGAAAAGTGGAAGACAGAAAAAGGGGAAATTTAAGAAAAGTAATGGAAAAAGAAAGGGAGAGAGGAAGGAAAATGAAATAAAGAGGAGCAGAGGAAATGAAAGATGTAACGCAACAGAAGACAAGGGGGAAGAGGACCTAGACAAAGACGGAAGGATACAAACATGGGGTGGGGAACGTGGGAGTAGATAAGTTGATATACGGCAGAGGGGTATATGGGAAAGAAAACAATGAGAAAAACGGATATAGAGCAAAGGCGTATGGTGAAAAAGATATAGGTGAGAGGATATTGTAAGGATTTGAGAAGAAAGACTGGAAGAAGGTTAAATAGAGTGAGAGATCATGGAGTAGAGAGGATATGAAAAATAGGCTAGGATTTATAGGTGGAGGGGGCATAGAGTAGAGAATATTGGATGTTGATATAAGGGGGAAGGGGTAGAATGGAAAGATAATATTCGTGAGATAGATACGGAGAGATGATATGCGGGGAGAGGATGGTGGAATCGGAATAAGAAGCGGAAGAGTAGAAGAAGAGGAGATGTGTATAGTAGAAGAAGAACTGATATGAGGACGAGGAATAGGAGAAGAAAGTGTGTGGTGAAAGGTACAGGGTGGAACGCAGACGAGGAAGTGTGGCGAGGAAAACGGAAGAGGAAGAAAGAAGATCAAGAGGGTAGTGGAAGTAGCATAAGCATAAGCTCTCTATGGACGTATAATATAATCTACGTTGTTGTTAAGCCTGTGTAAGAAATCAAGGAATAAAAGCAAATGGGGAAATAGAAGAGGAGAAAAATAGAAAAAAAGAATAGACAAAAGGTGAGGAACATAGGTGAGGAGAGGAATAAAACCAAGTGACGAATAAAGCAAAAAATGGATAGAACTTTGGAGAAATACGGGAGGAGGAGAAAAGGTTCAAAAAAATAGGAAAGAAGAATAGGAGGAAAGGCGACAAGAGTAAAACAGAAGAAATGGGGGACGAAGTGAAGAATAAAAGGAACGAGAAAAGTCAGAAAATAAAGAAATTGTGGAAGAAAGTAACAGGAGCAATAACAGAGGACGTGGAAGTAGAGAAGTAAGGAATAAAGTATGAGGATTATAAAACCAGCCGAAGCAATAAAATAAGAATTCAGGAGGTAAAAAGAAAAAGGTGGAAGGAGTGCGCGAGAGGAAAAAGATGGAGAGAAGACAGAGGAAGCGAAAATCAATGGGGAAAGAACATATGAGGCCGGTAAAAGGGAGCTATTAAGAAGAAGTGATGATAAGGGAGAGAAAGAAGCGAATTAAGGGGGTAAAAGGAGAACAGAGAAAGATAAACAGAAAACGGAAAATGAAGAAGAAGCTGAAGAGAAAGTGGAGGGAAAAGACATAGTAAGAGGAAGTAGAGGAAGAATGGGAAAAAATGGAACAAGAAGGGAAAGGGGGGGGGTGCAAAAAGAATATAACCAGAAAAGGAAAGAGGAAGGTAAAGAAATAAGGAAAATTAAATAAAGGAGGAGAGGAAAAAAAGAAAGTGATAGAAGACATGGGGGGGGGGGTAGGGTAGAGAGGATGATTTATTGAAAAGATTGAGAGGTATATGGGTTGACTGAATATGGAGTGGGTGTAGGATGAGGATATGGGGAAAAAGGATATGAAGGCCGGAGGATATGGGAGTGATAATGTGTAGGAAGAGAAAATGGCGAACATAATGTGGAGACGGGGACGGGCACAGAGCGGGGTGGGAGTGAGCGAAAGCTGTTGAACTCTTTGTGTAGAGAGGATAGGTTGTGGGAAAGAGAAGATTTGAGAAAAGAGACGGGTGATGATGACATAAGAGGGATGGTACCTATGTGAGAGAGAACGGTGAGATTGAAGGCATTGGGGAAAGAACATGGGAAGATATGAGATTGCGAGAGAGAGAGCACATTGAGATAGGAGACATGGGTGCTTGTGGAGAAAAGATATGGTAGAAAAAGGAAATTTATGAGAAAACAGAATATGGTGAAAGACGACATAGGGAATAAAAAAATGGGAAAAACGACCTTTCGGAAAATGGTGCTGGTGACATATTATGAATCAAGAGGGCATGGGAAAGAAGATGTGGGTGGAAGGATTTAAGTGCTGAGGATATGAAGAAGAGGCTAGAGTTTATGGGTCGATGGAATATGGAGTACAGGACGTTGGGTTGAGGATATGGGGGTGAATATGGAGGGAGGGGATATGGGGACAAATAGTATGAATTGAGAGAGAATGGAGAGATAATATTGGAGGGATAGGTGGTGAAAGATATGAGAAAGGTGATATGTGAAGAGACGCTTGGGAAAGGATGATGTGGAGGTGGTAGACTTGGTGGAAGAGGATGGGGAAGCGGAAGGAGAAGTGGACGCAAAGAAGAGGAGAGGTAGAGGCTAAGACCGTAGCGGAAGGGACGATGTGAGAATGAAGTGTAAGAGAAGAAAGTGAAAGGTTGAAGGTAAGTACAGTGGGGGGAGGGGGGGCAGAAAAAAGGAATGGTTACGAGGAAAACTGAATTACAGACTACATATCAGAAGACACAATGCAACAACAACCCATCATCGATTGCTAAACTTTTAGCGACTGCCAACAAATGTAACGTGTTTCTGAAGAAGCTTACGTGTACTCTCTAGGGCTATGTAAGCCTTTAGGAAGGGTTCAGAAAGTGTTGACAATTGCATAGAAGGCTTTTGAAGTGACAAAAAACGCAGGAAGGTCTACAAAGTTTTAGGAATGGTATAAATTTCTGGAAATCTCTAGAATCTGGGAAACACATGAAAATATCCAGCAAGGTGACTTTAATGAGCCTTGTAGTGTACTTAACCCCCAGGTTCTACACTAACTTCACACTACAAAAACACGGAAATAAAGTCAACCCGGCAACGTTTAAAAATGGCCACCCGAATGACTATTCTCTCCAAAACTAAACAAGATCTCGCTTAAATTTGAAAGGTGGCACGTGTTCAAGCATCTAAGGCAGGGCCCCCTTACGTTAGTTGTAAGAACGCTATGACCTGAAGCACAGTAGGGAAGGAACGTAAAATAAAACACTGAAATTGTGAAAAGATTGTTTAATAATGATCGTTATTATGACTACGTGAAAATTTTGTCGAAATAAATTACATTGCAAAAATAAACTTTGAAAATACTAGTTCACCGAATAAAAATAGAAATAGACTGGGAAAAAAGAACTTACCTATAAAAAAACCAGCCGTCAAATTAATATCAAATTGTGTTGTAAAATTAATTGCTTGTAATGATGTGAATGCGTAACATGAAATTGTAACATCACAAATAGTAGCATGTAGACTCCAAGTGGTAACAAAGAGGTTAAAAACAAGTTTTGGGAATTATTGGTCAGGTTATAGCAGTTACAAAAATTTAAAAAAGGTTGAAATACACAGGATGTGACTCATCTTTGGTGCAATAAAGTCCTTTTGTTAAAAGCAAGATGGAAAATTACATGGCCTTGTAGACAAATTTAACTAAAAATAAGATATGTGGAAATTACGAATCGTAACTCATTTATCGCACATAGATTCTAAACTGATGAGCTTTGATTAGCGTAATCCCGCACCTGCAAGATAGGTAACCCGCCCCTGGTTTTGGGGTTTCGAGCCTACAATTGAATGTCGAAGACAATCACGGAATTAGGTGTCGTAACTCCATTTGATTACCGTTTTTACCACCCCCGTAACTGCTTCATTCACGGCGAAAAATGTTAGTAACAAAAAACAAGTCAGTACATACATCAAACGAATCGGTAATTTCCACATAATAGAATAAAATGATCAAAATTTATATGAATGTTACTTCAGGGACAAGACCAAATCATCAACATCAATAAACATAAATTAAGCAAGCATTACTTACACCAAAAACGTAAACAATTACAAACAATAGCATAACAGTATCATATATGTGATTATGCAATGATTTCAAAAACAAAGATTGAAACACACAACAAAATATAAAATGCGGCATACAAAATACGAATACGATATAAAGAAATGCAAAAACGACTACCTGCATTAAATAACACAAAATAACAATAAGCATTTATGGAGCGACGCGTTCACGACCGCCATTCAAGACAAGATGCCAAACGTAACCCCCGTTCGTGCTTTCTAGATGGCGCAGGCAGCTTTTTCCCACCTAGAAATTGCAAAAATGTATGTATCGTCGTAAGTTCTATGTACAGAGTGGAACCTCTCAGACTTTTAAGGCCCTCCCAGAAATGTTATGTTATTTACAGAGCATACCAGATTTTTAAAGAAAATGTTTTTCGTGGATCTCCAGAAATTGAATGATAAATTATTATCTTTATTTGTAATTAGAAAATTGTCTCCAGATAGCCTCAAGTTCTTCAGACAAATCTTTCAGGTAGGATAATATCAAGGATTATATTTTCAACTATTAAAAACGGCATGATAAACTCAATACACCTTAAAATCAGTAGAATTTCATTAAAAAACCTGCTAGAATTGGATTACAAAACGCTCCCAGCTACACACGCCATTTGTAAATTACACTAGCGCCTCTAGTGTTAATCTGAACAACCATCAGTGACTATTGGATTGATTTTTGATTCAAAAGTATGTCAGTAAAGCTTCTACTCTTTACCGTTTAAAATTAACATCACTGTCACAGCACAAAGTAATACCATTTCATAAATAATGTGCAACTAAATAAATTTAAAATAAAATTACATCATATTGTGTTTGTAGAAGTGACGCCACTGGTCCTTCCAAGAAATTTAACGGAGCGCAACCAAAATTTGTGACGTCACGAGACGCGCATGCGCTCATTTGACACAAGCAATCGCTCACTCACTTTTATTATTCATAACAAAATGGAAGAATGAAAGAGCATATTTTCGAGTATTTTGAAGCGCGTAAAATAATGGAGAAATCAATTCAAAACGAAATTTGTGCAAAAAAAGTGTCAAAGTTAAACAGTGCGTGTGGTTTTCGAAGAAGAATCCAAAATAAAGTTCAATTTCAACGAGGTCAAATTTCAATTGCTTTATCTTTTAATCGGCAAGTACATCATCAAAGTCGACATTGCAGCTGGCGAGGAGCCTGTGATCGGAGGACATTGCGTAGATTAACTTGTTGTGACTTAGTGTAAACGATGTACAAGTTACAATCGGAAGGTGCCTTCTCGAATCGATTTCGATTGGGATACGACAATATGCAACTCAAACCGGATTACCACGACCATCACCGTCACTTCAGTCTAATCGGCAATCTCGGCATGAACGAGCTGAACAACCGCAAGACGTTCGATTACATGAAGTCGTGCACGGAGAGGCCGACGGTCGCGACGAGTTATCAGACCGTCAGGAGGGAAACGCCGCCCGTGCCCGCCGAGAGGGCGGAGGCCGAGCAGGCGAGGGAACCGGCGAAGTCCAGGAAACGAAAGCGACACCGTAAACGAAATCGAAGAGGTCGCAACCGGAAGAACAAGTCGCGCGAGGACCCTGCCCCTGCCTTGGTGGCACAGTTCTGCGCGATTTCCATTGAGACCCCGGACGAAGTGGATGGGTGCTTTAGCGTAAGTATTGGCCTACTGTGATCTACTGTAATATATACTTTACATGGTGTAGGGATTATACAGGGTGTTATATTTTATGAGCTTTAGTTAGAAGTTTTGGTTTTTGAAAATTTGTAGTTGGGGTCTACTACCAACAGTTTTTCATTTTACCCGAGGAAAAATTATACAAGTTAGGGGAGCCCTCCCCCTCTGCCACAGTAAGTGCTCTTCTGTGGCTGTACCATTTATGAGAAAAAATACGAAGGGGAAACCACAAAGCCAATATTGCCAAAAGGTGAAGGAATTATGGGTAGGTTACTTACATAGGAAATAAAGGGGAACTCCAAATACATATGGGGAATTACGAGGTAACATTGGGAAATGTGAGGAAATATTTGTGCCAGATATCAGCGGTGGTTTCCCCCTTGGAAAAGTATTAGGTACTAAACTAATGCTAGCCCTCCATCTTCACCCCAGTAAGTGCTTTTTTTTAGAAAAGTTGTGTGCGGGGGAAGGGGGGTGCAAGGGCACGCTGCCCTTCTCCGCTGCAGAAAGTGCTTTTCTTTCTTTTTCCTAATACACAAAATATGACGTTGGGGGGGGGGGGGGTTAAGTGAATTGTAGCCTCCCCTGCGATCGTTTGTCTTTTGTTCTTTCAGATAAGTGTGATTGTTATGCACTGGCTGTATCAGTAAGTAATTACAAGTTTGCCCCCCCCCCCCCCTCCGCTCACCACCGGAGGAAAATATTACAGTTTAGAGATCTATGCTTATGCTAGCCCCCTCCACTTCCTAGCTATTGTTTTGCATTCTTCTAGGCAAGTTGTGTTATGTTATGTGGTGGCTTGTGTAACTAAGACATCATTTTGTGGATTTACCATTTATAAGATAAAATCAGGGAGGTGGGGCTAAGGTGATACTGCCCCCACCGTTATACAGTAAGTGGTTTTGTTTCTTTTTCATATGGATTTACCCTAGAATTTACCAATTATAAAAAAAATATGACAAGAGGGGGGGGGGGGGGGATTGTGCACAACTCTTGTGCAGATAAAGCGCATTTTTTTAACCGAAATAGCTTTTGGTTTGACATAACCAATGGATATATTTCTTGCAGACATCTCAATCTCCCTTTGTGAGCACCTCTTCCGACAATCCATTCTTGATAAGAGAATATACCCGATCACGATAAGAGGCCTAGTTTCACTCCCCACCACCCGGTACTAAGAGGACAGAAAGAAAGGCAGTAATTGGTAGAAACGGTTTCGTTTAATTAGAATAAGAGGTAAAATTATTTTTACACCCCCCCCCCCCGCCTCTTCGCTCACTGATCTCGAAAAAGAGTCGCACGTGAAGTTATAGTTTGTACAAATCGATTTATTTCGATGAGACCTTCCATGAAGGGTAGAACATGTGTTTACCCTCCCCTCCCCCATTTTCTAAAGTTTAACTTGGCACCACTAAAGGCATGCGTATGCAAAATCTGAGACCGATTGGTTGTCGTATGTAAAAGTTATGCACGTTGTACTTTCAAAAACAGCATCTCAGAAAATAATTCGTGGAGGGGGGGGGGCGCTTTTAGACAGCGAAATTTGATGGCCGTCTGGCACACCTTCAAGGTATACGCTACCTACTCCAAAAATTCCAAGGCTGTGGGACCATTCCCGAGACCATTCCCCTAGAAGTAGTTTGAAACGAAAGAAGTGGGTCCGGACGGACGGACGGACAAAACGCAAACAATAGCACATTTTTTTTTAATTCTTAAAAAATGCGCTAAAAATCTTACAGGGGGCTAGAGTCATGATATCCCCCCTGTCTCACCACAGTAAGTGCTTTTCATTTTTCTAAGCAAGAATATTTTAAGTTAGTTCTAGCTCCCCTCCCCCCGTAATTTTTTTCTAATTTTATTATCCTAGGAGAGTGATTTTATGCACTGGCTTGTGCCACTCAATCATTTTTAGGATTACGATTTATACGAAAAAAACTGACAAGCTAGTTGCCCCCCCCCTCCCCCCACTTTTTTGTTTAGTTTTATAGTATAGGCTATAGGGGGACGTACGACCCCCTCTTAGTACATGTTTTTCTATTTTTTCTTGCAGGAAAGTATATCGTACTGGATTGTGCCACTAAGTAATCATTTTGCGGATTGCGATTTATAAGAAAAATTCGTACAAGTGCCCCCCCCCCCCCCCCCACACAGTAGGCAGCTCCTTTTCTTTTTTGTGTGGGTTTACCATTTATAAGGACAAATATTACACATTAGGAGGGATCAGTTAATTGCCCCCTTTCCCCCAAATGGTATGTGATGTTTGTGGTTTTACATTGACGAGTGACATTATTAAAAGTTGGGGGTATAAACTAGTGCTAACCCCCACCCTCGTCCTTAGTGTGGGTGTTACAAGTTCGGGGGATTAAGCTTATCCCCCCCCTCCTTTAGTAATTGCTTTTCTTTTTTCTGTGGTCTTTTCTATCTGCTAGTCCTCCCTCTCCTCTGTTAGCGCCTTTTCAATTTGTGGTGTTTTGCCTTGTGCCATAAAGAAAACATTCCTGGTGAAGGGGTGGGGTGGGGGCAACTTAAAAATATGACGCAGTGAATGCCCCTCCCCCCATGTTTCGTAAGAAATTAGGTGGCTAGGTTAATACTGCCGCCCCCTTCAATTATGAGTTTCTTTTATGAGAGTTTTGTGATGTTATGTGGTGACTTGTGTCACTAAGAAATCAAATCCAACTTAATGCTAGCCCCCCCCCCCCCTAGTGGATTTAAAATTTATAAGAACAAATGTTATAAGTCATGGGGGGCCAAAATCATGCCCCCCACAGTAAGTGTTTTTCTTTTTTCTTTGGTTTCACCTCGGATTTCATCATTTTTAAGGGAAAATATTACAGGAGAAGGGGGCCAAGTTAATGCTAGCCCATGTTCCTCCTAAGTACCTCTTTTTATACTTCTCTTTTCTTTTCTGGGAAAGTATTAACGTTACGTACTGACTTGTGGCAACAGAACTGAGTTCATGTCCCCCCCCCCCCTTCTTCTTCCCCCGCTACAGTAACATACTAATATGGTAAGTTAATACTGACCCCCCTCTTTCTAGTAAGGTTCTCTTTTTTTTGCATGACAGAGGAAGGGAAAACTAAGAGGCAAGCTCTCTCTATAGCGCTTCTGTTGGTCATATACAAATTAAATTGAAAGAGATAGAATAAGATGTGTAACCGTAAGAGATAACTTGTCTGTTAGTTTTTCTTCTCTCTCACTTTCAGTAATTTTTTTAAATGTTCTGTAGGTCTAGCTTGTGCGACTAAAAAACCATTATCAAAAAAGAATCATACGAATTGGGGGGGGGGGGTGTAATGTCAGCCCCCCACAAGTACTCTTATGCCACTAGGAAATCATTCTGTATCTATCAACAATTATCAGAATGTGTTACGGGTGAGGGGGGGGGGTGCTAATCCCTCCTTGGCTTATGCCTTAAAGAAAGAATTTTCCAGGCTGGAGGGGGGGGGGGCAAGTTCAGGCTAGCCGGCTCCCCATAAGTATTTTTAAGAAACTGTGATGGACGTTGCACTTGTAGGCGTGGATAGGCGTTTTGACAGGTAGAATTGACAGGCCATTGACTTACCATAATGTAAGAGAGAAAAAAAAGGTAAAAACTGAGTATTTTAGATATTACGTAGAATCCATTGGCGTAGTAACAAAAATTTTTTGCCCACCGTTTCTGAGATTTGAGCTGGGGGTTGCGAATCAGTTAACCCCTGTCTGGCAGAAATGTCGATCTTGCGCAAGCAGGTGAACTGCTGTTGCATTGCGGCCGTCCTGCTTATATAGCTCCGGGTATTTTACGATAAGAACGTTGCGCCCCTTAGGGATAACACGATTGTGCATATAAAATATACCCTACGTACAAATTTTCAAAAACTACCTAACCAATGAGTAATTAATTAACTTTGTTTATTGACAATATCGCCATTTGAAGCTATAACTTGTGTTGCAGGTACGCCCCAATTCATTCTGTCGTACTCGTTTACCCTCCGACTGCGACAGCGAGGACAGTTTCATCGTATTTGGCAGTGAAAATGTCGGTAATCGCCGATTCGCGAATCACCGTATTTATTGTCCTCTTTTTCAGGTTGCCACCCCGTTTTACTCCCCCGAGTGTAGGCCACGCTTTATGTCCGAGTGTATCAGCGAGGACAGCTTTATCGTGTTCGACGGCCGTAGCGAATGCGGCGATTCGGTGGTTTTCGATTCCTCTCAGGGCGATTCTGACGAAGTGCCCGCGAAAAAGGTAAGGACAGTGTGTTTGTTGGTGATTAAGTTTGGAGTGATTGATAAGCGTGTGATTGTGGAGTAGCTGATAAGGGAACTGGTTTATCTGGCGCCAATTTATTTCAATGTTTATAAAAATGTCATTATTTACAGGAAATAATGTTTATTACTTACTTTCAATCATACATTTAAAGTTAAACACGTGCGCGGAGTCCATTGAGAAATTGATCACTTCGACGTAGATGCTAAAACTGAAAGTAAACACAATCAAATTTTCTAATAGTAACGCGTTTGCCGAATTTCGTCGCCCCCCTCCCGCCCGGTCAACGCTCCCTTTTATTAGAAACAATTTTTGAGGATGTTATTCGAAAATATGTCTAAAAGTGTATCGGTATCACCTCCAATACCACAATTGTTTAAAAACAATAACAATTATTGTTTATTGTTTCTCATCACTTCTTTATGTTTTGTTATAAATAAACGTTTATTTGATTTTTAATTTTCAATTCATTGTTTACGTGTTTTTTCTCTTTCAGGTCAGTAATAAATTATCAGAAATATTAATAATCTCTTGCGGATGGATCATCTTATCATTTTTATTATCACTATTGTTCCACTTGTGCGGTAATAATTATCGTGATTATGTGCACGCGAACGTTGATTACGTCACGTTAATTGAGCGAACACTGCAAACATCGTGGTTACTTATTTTGATTTATGGGCGAGTTGTTTTTAATGGACGATTTTCGCGGACGAGATTGAAGAAACCTTGAGTGCACTCCTCTAATCAGCATGTCCAATTTTCCATCTTTAGAGTGGTGTACGTTAAGTGTATGTATTGAGCCAATTACGAGTGTAGGATGTAACCTAGTGATTTTTGTTGCACTCAATATACAAGGTGTTCCAATATGTGAAGTAACAATTTTTGTCCTCTGGATTTGCTTGGATTTTTAATGTTTCTGCAGTTAAGATGTTTCCCACACCATACGTATTAAATTAAAATCTCAAGCGTATTACTTGGTCTCAGTGCTGAGATCTCAAGCCCTTGGACGGACGCACGAAATTCAGGTATTGGCGCCAAGCCTCGATTTTAATGATTTTTGACCGTTTTTGAATTTTTTGAAGCCAGTGGTTTGGCATATCCTGGTGTTCATGGCGAACCTAAATGGTGCGAAAACTTCGCGGAGGTCCGGTAGGTGTTTGTCGAAGACGATAATGTCGTCTAGGTAGGCTAAGACCGTTATGCACCTTCATTCGGTCTATGAGGCGTTGGGAAGATTGAGGGGGCATTCCTGAGGCCAAATGGCATCCGTTTGAATCGATATAATTCTAGTGGGGAAACGAACGCCCTTTTGTCCCTGTCCTCGCCTACCGTTCTTCGACTTTTTTTTGTTTCTGGCACGTGGTTGGTGTGTCCCATGGTCGTAGATCATGTGCAGCTGATTTCCTCCTCTATTTTTGGGAGGATTGCGCGTTTTTGTGATATGAAGAGGGCCGTGTTCTCCTGTTCTGCCTTGTTCCGTGTTGAATAGGTCGCTGAGAAGCCGGTGGTCGGCGTTTGCGGTCCGAACGACCGTCCGAGATGGGCCATGGCGTCGTTCAAGGTGGAGATGGTCTTTTTTACTCCTCTCCAACACGTCGCGGCGTCTATCTCGAGCAACATTTCGAGTCCCCTTAGCGCGTTTTGTTCGTCAATGCACCTTGTGGGTTTCTTTTGGGCATCTTGGACTCGGAAAATTGAAAAAACTGAAAATTCAGATACCCCAAAAATTCATAGAGGATTCGTAAGAAATCGCATAATCGCGACATGCCCCTGTGTTCCTTTGGCTTTTAAAAACTTGAGCACCAGCTCGTAATGACCCTTAAAATTTTCACTGAGTAAATCCCTACCTTTATATGATGGACTCTATTATTTTTGGATTTGTCTTTTAATGAGAGGAGAGAATTCTAAAACTTGTTAAAGGTCTTCTAGAGACACTTGGAGGTAAAAAATTCTGTAAGGACCTTCAACACTGTTAAAGTCAATGGTAACGATGACTTAAACAATTTTTTTTAATTTTCAGGTTAGATTCGCGAGCGAAGAAAACTTGTGCGAGGTCCACCCGATGATTCAATGGTCGTACGCGTACCAAAAGGCGCGCAAAGGTCCTTGGGAGCAGTTCGCGCTCGACCGAATGCGATTTCGCAATCGGGTCGCGAACGTCCAGCCGATCTTGGACCGTATACTCGAACCGTCGCATCGCAGCAAAATCTACAAGGAACGATTTAGCGGCGGAGGCGCGAACTAGAAACGTCGATTTCCGTGGAGGGAACCAACCGGTCCGGTTCTTTACGTATCAATGCAAAGAGAGAGAGAGAGAAGATGTGTTCGACGACTGCCGTACGACGGTCCGATTGTGATATGTAAATAGGAATTAAATGCGTACCTGATTTTGTGTAAGGCCATCTGATGGCCTTGATTGGAACTTTCGGCGGATGGCGAAAGTGTCCTCATTTTATTTTTACCACGTGTAGGTTTAGTGCTAGGGGATAGTAAATTAAATTGTGCAGACATGTTGGGTTGGTCGCTTTCTTGGGGCGCATTAGCGAGGACGATAGGTATCAAGTCAGTATGGCTGCAAGTATTTTTATCTTATGACTAAATTACTAACTTTGAACGCCTTTTAAGTCATCGCGCTTTAATTTACGCATTGTCCTTGTTGTGGTCGATTATTTGTTCTAGTCTCTAGACCAACTTTTCCAATTTTAATTGTCAACTGTTATGGATTGTACTGGCGTTACTTTGATGCAATTGTGGATAACTATTGATCTTGTCTATAGTTTCGTAAAATAATTGACTGATTACATACGTTGCATTTGCATTGTATAAATCATGGGCTATATTATTATTAAAGTTATGGTGGTGTTAGATTATATTTTTACTATTTGTTTTAGTTATTGTTGTACCTCAGAGAATAAGTAAGGAGTACCAACATCAATGAATTAAATTAGCTTTAATTAAATTAAACCGAGTTTACTTTTTTCCAACTTCCCTGTTTCCATTTTGTATAGATTTTGATATCTGTTTATGGAAGTATGGCGTACTCCAAGGTATTGTGTGTCATTTTTTTTTTAATGTACAGGTGGTTATGCATTTATATTATTTTATTAAGTATTTATTTATGTGTTCATGTGGAAGTATATATAATTATGATGTTGCCGTGTAGGAGTCAATTATAACTAATTAAACTTGTGGAGGAAGTACCTCGTACAGTTCCGATTCTTTGCAGTATCTACTTCTTTCTCATTTCGTACCTGCTGCCGGATGAAGCGTCAGCAATACAAGAACGGGGGTTCCCTAATTAACATTTCTTTGTTTAGTATGTGGATGAGTGGATCACATCTCTTCTATAGAGTGTTCAAACCTCCAAATTCAGTATGGATGCTGGATCACATCTCTTCTATAGAGTGTTCAAACCTCCAAATTCAGTATGGGCTCTTATGGACTAAACTCCTTTACTATCTTTAGGCTTCTACCTATAACGCTATCTTTGTCCTTCATAACCATGTTGCCAATAATAAATTGTGTTTTTCAGACATTCGTTTTGTTGACATAACCTCCTTGAACTGTCAAATTGCTTGTATTATTTTTGTTGTTTATTTTGAGGTTAGAATCTGTGTCTGCTATACCCGCATACGGCGGTCTAATTCGGTTTCGAGCATCCTGCTCTGGCATTTTCCCCTTTTTCAGTCTTGCTATACTATCTCCATCATTTCCAACGTGGGGGTGGCGATTGTGCCCAATAGTCGTTCTCCTTCAATAGCTGAACCTGTGCTCCTTGTTCCTCGTTCAGGCGAGCTTCTCCCATGCTGTCATTGGTACATCTTTTTTGGTTCCTCCTTGTGTTTTTTTGCGCATTCCTCTTCATATATTGAGCTAAGCTTGGCGATGGTCTCTGCAAACTCGACGAATTCGTTGATGTTGTTCAATAAGGCTTTGTTTCTCTCCTCTCCCTTAGAGCTCTTTCTTTGCTTCGGGTTTGTGTGGTTTTTGCCCAAACCTCTTCAGTGCTCTTGCTGTGGTTGACCATGGCTTTCTTCATGTTTGGTGCCATGGGCGGTTTGTGTTCCCCAAGTGTTTTCTCTGCTGCTTCCTTGAACATTTTGGCGATCCAGTTCCAAGATGATCTCCCTTCCCGCTTTTGGTTCCTGATCTCGCCTTGCTCCTTTCTATACTTCTCCCTGTTCTTCTCCTCTTTCAGAAGTTTCAGATCCCACCATTCAGTTCTCCCGTTGTTTTGCTCCCTGTTTTTTTTTCCCCCCCCCCCCCCTCTTCCATGTTGTCAGTTCCGTTTTGATGGATTTGCTGAATGTGTTTTCCATCCTCAGTACTATGCTCCTAAGCTCGTTGCCATTTACTTTGCCTTGCCCGTGCTTGAGCACTTTGCCTATCCTTTGTTCCACCCCTTCGCTTCCGTATCTTCCGCTCTTTTGCTCTATTATTTCTCTCAGTTTCCTGAATTCTGCTTGTCCTCTTTTGTCCGAGGGAATGTGACATATTATACTATAACCGTTAGTCTTCCTAAGCTCGTCTTGATTTGGGTCAGTGGCGTAACTGGGTATTTCTTGAAGCGGTGCCCTACCAGATTTTGGTGCCACATCAGTTACCGTTAAGCTCTAATCACTAAAACACTGTAGGTAATTACTGTACTATACAGCGATAATTACATACCACTCACCTCCTCCCAGATTCTGGCCTCCTAGATGTTAGTGTCAGAATCCTAGATTTTTACGTTGTGTCTTATTGTAGTATTTTAAGTTAAAATTTTAGAGGTCGTTGTCTGTCGGTTCTTTTATTTGAAGTAGAACAGAGACATCGGAATTTATAATTAGGTTTACTCCTTATAATTGATCTTTTTGGAAATAAATTCTTTTTCATTATTTTGCAATCCACACATTTTACAATAAATGCGCCATGGAAGAAACAATCTCCCTCGGCAATTAGAAAGCATGCGGGCGTTCCACAAGAGTCAAATGGCATTTTACCGATCTACCTACGAGCCACCGCATAAATGACAGTACGCGGCACTGATTGGCCGCGGACTAATATTAGGGTCGAAATGTCCCGTGGTTTATCAGCCGCAGTAAACATTCCAAAACCCACCTAAACCAGTAGACACGTTTCAATACATCTTCATCGAAGTGATAAAAATATGGGTCAATTATAAGAGGACCTAATAGAAGTTACTAGCAGCTTACGTAATTAGCAAACTTAATTCCAATTACAAATAATTGACGGCCCAACAAAGGCTAAATTTTAATTAATCATTTCGACAACGTTAAATGTAATTAAGTCGGTCTTCGGACCACGACCACAACGGCACCATTTGCACCCAACTAATTAGACCAATATAAGTTTTGTGACTTATAAACAAAGGCGATATTAAATTATTCAATTCGCAATTATTCAATATAAATGAAAAGATATTACCTTATTTTTAAGATTACATTTCATATTCCACATTTCCACGTCTTTTTTACTGACAAAGTTGCTCGTTTAAGTTGTACCTTTATCAATGGGTATGCTTGACTACCTACTGAACGCTTTCTTTATCAGTTAAATATCCATTTCGTTCTTTTGTTACTTTCTGAAACTATAATAGATCAAGCTCAAGCATTTTTTGTTTATACGAAAATTTATAGCATCGAAAGTGCGTCAAATATATATCCTCCGTTTATGGGATTCATCCTAAAGGCTCGCAAATTTGTTTTGAACCCTGTAGTCGACTTTAGCAGACTTTTCGAATTTAACTGCCGTTTTTTCATTAATGACTGGTCTATACCCCGTACTGCTCACCCCGACGTGGTGTCCTAGAGCGCATCCGGGGCCAATCGTTGTCCCTTCGGCACCCAACTAGTTACGCCACTGATTTGGGCCCTACATATACTCTCACTACTTTCTTCAAATTTCTCAACCTCAATACCTCGTTGTTTCCTGATTACGATTGCGGTGCTTCTGCTGGTTCTCCCCTTCTCTCTTCCTATCCATCAGTTCCTTGTCGCGGCCATCCCACTTGTTAGCTTGGTTTCCTCTAGGCTGGCTATCTCTAAATCCTGTTTACTTAATTCGTCGTCGATTAGCTCCCTTTTCCTTGGGTCGTTTGCCCCTTGTACATTCCACGTGGCTACCCTCATGCTGTTGCCTCCTTTTTCAACCTGGCCACTCCTTCTCGGCGTGGTACTACTCCCGGATACCATGCTCAGACTATATTCGTTTGGGACGGTGGCTCCCCTCTCTTCCTCGTACTTCTCCAGTACCCTCGTTCTCCGGTGTTCCCCCTCTTCATCTACCTCCCCTGTTTACTGCCCTCAACACGCTGTGGTAGTAGCTCAGGACATTGTTATTCCCTAGTCTGTATGCTATATAGCAGTGACCTGAGGTCCCCGTTATTTTTCGCGGTTCGAAGATGTGTAGGGAATGCAATCCCGCAGCAAAATCTCAATCCCGGTATTTGCGGGATTGTTAGATGTTAATCCCGCGGGATCCCGCAAAACTTTAAATAAATTGCCAAATAAGCAATTCTGTGTGGTTAACTTCTGTATTAAAATAAATCGCTAATTATCACAATATTTAACAATACAATACGTGGCCGACAAATTCCTCAGTCCCGCAAATCCCGCGGGATCCCGCTCCATTTATGTACGCGCAAAAATGCTGCGGGATCCCGGTATTTCGGGATACCGCGATCCCGGTATTGCATTCCCTAGACTCTCAGATCGACATTTTCTTATAGAATGTGACCTGTAGAATCCATAATTTCAAACAGTTCCAAGATTGGGCTACTAGTTCAAAAGTTACAGCCTTTTGAATTTGCTTTCGAAATTGGTTTCTAGTCTGTAACTTTTGATGGTGAAGTCTAATTGAAAAAGTACGAATTGTTTTGAATTCTACGCACCAAAATTAATACGAAAAAGTGTTTTCCCGAGAAATTTTGGTGTAGTCGATTTTTGGTAAAAAAGGAAGGTACACTGCCTTTTTTTGCCCCGAAAAAAATTGTCTCATAATTGATGTGTTTCTCCAAGCAGAGTCACCTACTTTTCAAATCGCAACGATGGACGTTTCGCGGAACTTTCGGACTTGGATGGCAGTCGGCTCGATATGGGTGGCACGAATGAACTCCTACGTTGTGTAATCCGTTCTTGTATGTGTTGGGACGTGAGAGATAATCGGGAAGGGAATTAAATAAAAGACAGAACTTTTGTGTGCAAGAAATGACAAGAACAAAGAAATATATTACGCACACCAACAAGACCATACCAGGGAAACCTTCTACGGGACAAAAACCCCGGCATAGGCCACACAAATACATGAAATAAATCACCTACAGCAATCAAATGCAAGAGAAAATACACATAAATAAAACATCTCAAATTGTATGATAAAAATCAGATAATCAAAACAAATGCAATTATATAAGTTCATAAAATCAAAATACACATCATAAATGCAGTGGAAAACCTGATAAATCAATCAGTACAAAAACACATTAAAATACTACCTGTTTAATTTCAGTACAAAAACACATTAAAATACTACCTGTTTAATTTCCCCCCGTGTCCTGCGTCCCTCTATTCAATCTTTTCCATTTTAATTTAATTTAATTTCGGCCTTAATATTCTAGTACGCAGCCTTTCGCCCTCGTTGTCCTCCTCACAATTTAATTAAATCCTCGCGCGTTATTCGTGTCTTGATAAAGACATACCTACTTCGCTTGGGATTCGAATGTAAGTTTGAATTAAGCCTGGACCCGCCTCGCGTTTAATGGTTAACGAGTTCTTTACTAAAGTAAACTCTTTGCTGGTCCGAACTCGACTCCAATTCCCAGATATCATGTTAAAAGGGTTTGAGGACAAATTCAATTGAATTTTAAGTGTCTCTTGAAGAGATTATTTAATTGTCTTGATTAGCGCATTTTTCTATTGCGTGTGTGTGTGCTCTTTAGTCATTCCCTACATAATTCTT